GGAGAATTTGCAAAATATTCGTGTTCGAGAAAATAATCCTGGATATTAATTGAAGCTGAAGTGGTATTCGGTAAGAAAATTCACCTACATGTTGATGGTTGTTGATGAACATGTTGTGTTTATGTAAATTTCGAATTTGCAAGTATACCTACATAATATTATGGTAAACTGTTGATGAATGATTTTTATTCATTGACTTATAGAATGATCTCGAGATAATCTGTCATTTAACCTACAAACGTCAAAACAATTCCAGTGTAATTGCATGCTCCGTCCCCCAAAGAGGAGGAAAAAATTTCCAATGTTTAGTTGCTATGATAACGATACAAAATACAGGCTTTAAATTGAGCGAAAATGTTTGGTGTTAAATTTTCAGTTTAATTCACTTTTAATTTCAGATACTGCTTCACCAATCCAAATACGACTAGTAAAAAGCAGACCGTAAAAAGTTTGGTTGTGAACGAATGCCGCTTCAGACCGTGAACTCCAAAAAATGTTTCGTCTGCTGCGCATTTTTTACCATACAAAAATATTTTGGGATCCTCCCCTCCCTTCCATGGAGGTAACAATCTAAGTAATCCCTTTCTTCTGAGGCAACCAAAAAGCTATTCTCCAATGACAAATATCATTCGTAGTTGTGTCGATCTATTGAGTATATATATCATTTTATCATTGTTCAAGTTGGTCATTCACCAGGAGAGACTTCAATGCTGAATCAGACAAGCAACTCAGGCATTCAACAACGTCAAATCATGCACAGATCAACGAAAGTTGGTACCTCTGGTATCTCGAAAACAACAAACAAACTGCTTGATACGATAAACTCACCGGTGTTCCTTCCAAAATGAAAATCCAGTTTCGTCAGGATACTCCAAAGGATTTAGTCATCCACCTTGCACAGTATCGCAAAACCACAAGAAACGAACGGGAAAAACGACGAAAAACACCCGTTGGACCGTCAGAAACATGTGCCCAACGCCGAAAACAAAAGAAAGCCGAACGTGCGCGATAAACGTCTTTTTACACCTGGCGTCACTCTCTCAGTCGAGAGCTACGGACAGGTAGGCCATGGATTTTGTGACTTGTGACTTGTGAGCGAGTCTTTTCGGCGACCTTCGTACGGTCTCGGATGAAGTCGACCGGGGAGATTGGAGATTTTCTCTAGTCGTTGGAGGAATTTATGACTGCCAGTTGTGCGCATAGATCTCAACGAGTAGTTACAATAGACTAATACGGATTTTCATACTAATAACTAATATGACCTATATTGCCCCTAGTGTTCATCAAAAATATCAATGCTTGGCATGACAATAAGTCATTGATATACAACAACTGATTTTTGAAAGAACGATGCAATGAAATACCTAGGTAGCTTAAACCTTGTGTGTGATAATTTGACGGTGAATAACTTACTGAATTAACACTTCTAAGGGCGACATTTGAACATTTAAGACTTCAGAATCTTAAGTGAATTCAGTTATGAAAAAATAAGATTCTAGGGCGATACATATGACTTCTGTCATTACTGATATCTATTTTCTGATACAGAACCAGATTTTCAAAGTTCAGTAAGTTAGGAACTGCTTGGAAATGAAAATGCCATGTTCTGAAATCATTCTATATTAATTTTCATCTCTTAAAACGGACATCCATTATATCTCCACATTATTTTGAAAGTAATCAGCTTGGTAATCAGTGTAATCACTATTGCTTGCCTAACAGAAACTGGCTCACTCCTTGGATCTGTTGCCAAATATGGAGGGTGACATTCTAGTGTATTTTTGAAGAACGGTTTAGTATCCATATTTTCTATCAGAAAAAAAAACAAATATTCAGGAATAACAACCCAAGATACTTTGAATAATTTTTGAATCGCGGGAAATTCAGATGTCACTTTTGGATGCGCACTCCTTATTCCATTTATGATTATTCATCAGCACTTCTCGAGTTGGAAGTTGTCATCTTCTTTAATTTAAAATTTGTAGTCATCAAGTCTTTTTTTATTTTATTTCTTTTTTTTTTATTTTATAGATTACAGGCTACTCAACAGGTCGAATGACCCAATTACAGAGAAGCACAAAATATACTAATCATCAGTTAACAATCGAAGGTTATGAAAAGTTAAAGTTTATATAAGTGAGATTGATTACTACAGTGGAATATAAAGAACAGAAAAATGGGAAAAGGTGAATTTCAGTTAACTATTTGAAGAGGAGTCGTTACAATTGAGGTTACAATACCTGATTATGTGAAAAGAAGTCAAGAGTGAATAATTTGCCTCAGTTTGGTTTTGAACCTGAATATTTTCGTGGTGAAAATATCTACAAGAGAATTGTTTCCTATCTTATATAAGAATTTATGCACCTATGTAAGGGAGAATTCAGTAGAAAGTTAGTAGAGCTAGGTCCAGTTGTGAAGTGAGAGAATTGGTGCAAAATTCAGAATCAATCAGATTGTTGACCACTTTGTAAATGAAAAGAATGTCGAAAAATGTTCTCCTCAGTTGAAGGTTTTCAATTTTGTAGTGTTTAACATTAGCATTGTATGAGGAGAAAATTTTTCCATGGTTACAACGAAAATTCAGGTGTCGGACAAATTTCCTCTGAACAATTTCAATTCTATTGGAGTGATTATTATAAAAGGGATTCCAGATGACAGATGCATACTCCAGGGAGGATCTCACAAGGGAGTTGTACAACGATTTAACAGCATCTGGGTCTCGGAAGGATTTTGTCGCCCTCATAATAAACCCAAGATTTCTTAGACTTTTCTGCACCGTCAATTCGACGTGTGTGTCAAAAGTTAATTTAGTATCTAGGTGAACACCTAAGTCTTTGATGACATCACAATCTCCCAGAACCTCACCGCACAGTACGAGGTTGGAAGTGGGAGGATGATTATTACGGGTAAACAGGATCTTGCGACATTTACCAACGTTCAATTGAAGTTTGTTAACTGCACAATACTCTGTGAACCTATCAAGGTCCAATTGAAAGCACTGGTAGTCCTCCTGAGTGGTTATCGATTGATACACTTGGTCTTGTGGTCTTGTGGTCTTAAATGGTTTTATAACATAACCAATGATATTTCCATGTTCCATCTATCATTATTGATAAGCCTCAAATGTTAGGTGATAAATCTTAAAGTTTTTTATAAAATGGCCCTAAATTGAGAACAAGGACATCCAACGAGTAATGAAGATATAAATTATTATAATTTGCAGAGTTATTTCAACTTGATTGATTTCCGTCATGTTTTCATTCATATTCTGGAATCAGTATAATAAATTTGATATTGTTTCTCTTCGAATAAGTGTGTATTACCAGTTTGAATAATATGTTGTTTATATCATTCTGAATATGAAGTTATTCCAGTTACAGATATTGGATTTTTTTATATAAGTTCATGGAAATACTTTCTGTGGCAAAGAATTCCAAAGAAGAAGAACAAGAAGAACATTTCTCGTGGAAGATCTCGAGAGAAAGTCATCGATTTTTTTACGGTGTTCCAATGATGTCAAAAAATTGGCGAGTGTGGCATCCCCCACCAGGCAAATGGCTCGTCTCTGGATGGAATCTGAATGCATCAGCGAATGTTTGGGTTTTGAACCTCATAATGTGGAAAATTATTTCAAAAAGGGCTGCATCTGTGCTTTGTAGATCATGAGAAGCTGTTGAGGTGTGAAGCAGCTTTTCGTTTGGAATAAAAATCAGATTTTTTTGTGGAACAGTTTTCGCGATAGATCTGACTATTTTTTTCATGAAAGGGTATATGACTGATGGAGATATGATTCACTTTATATATAAAAGGTGGGGTATCGAATATCGTTCTATCAGGTATTTCTAGAGTGAATATATAGATAACTAGGCTTTAGATCTGGTGACGTTTTTCAAAAAAGTGCCTTTTTATTCGCTAACAATGTTTCAGACACTGAAACCAGTCTTTCTTTTCAAAAAGAACAAGTTCAATTGAGGCATCTTCTGTACCTATACAAGAAAGGATTTCAAATAACGTTCACCTCTCACTGAGGAATCCTCAAAACATGATGATTATATGGTTATTATCGTTGGTATATGAGGACCTTCACTTTCCGAGATATATATAGGCCTATATAATTATTGGGTGCCTCACACGCAATCATTATCTAGCATGAAAAAAACTGGTTCTAATTTCATTAAGACCAGAAATTTTATAGCGGTCGTTAAAAAATAAACTAACTCCGTTAATTTGTTGCTGGATATTATCTCTTTTATCAACATCTTACCATCGTAATCAAAGATCAGAGGCAGATCATTATTGATGCTCGCTAATTAATCGAAAGTATATTTGTAATTTTGTTCCAATATGGCGACCTTTTCACATCTTATGTAACCACTAAACCTTTTTCGATTGTAATTCAGGAAGTATGAAATGTACTTAATTCAGAAAGTATATAACTTGAAATTCAGATGTAGTCCAACGTGGATAGAATACTGACGCTTCAACCACGAGGCTACGCTGGTCACTGAAGAAAGACTTCCTTGTTTGCTGTTGGTTTGGGTCCATACACTCCCATGTTGAACCCAATTGAGTACAACAAGTTGAAGGTATGAGTATTGGGTAACAAGGACTTGTGTATCTTGAACAGAATATTGACCAGGCCAAAGATACAATTATTGTTGGAGGTGATTGTTCTAGAGCTGCACATCAATACACCACCACAACCATGATGCGCAGCTCGGGTATTTCAAGATATGAGATATCTCTTTATTCTCCACACTAATTTAAATCCATGCGTAGTTTCTGAATTACAAGTTACACTTTCTGAATTGTGTTTTACTAATCTGAATTGAATGTAATGCTTTCTGAATTACAATCAACTAATCTGAATTAAAATCGACGCTCTCTGATTTACAATTAACTATTCTGAATTACAAGCTACACTCTCTGGATTACATTTTACTAATCTGAATTACATTAAGTAACACTTTCTGAATTATAAAAAAAAGGTGTACATATACCTTTCGTCTTTGGGAACAGAGAGCTAGGCGCTGTGAAGATGATGGCTGAAGACCTTGGTGGTAGAGGAGGAACATCGTATTGCTGTTGGAAACCTTCACTTCCATTCGAAATATCCGCGATCTGGAAATTACCATCTTGCCGTTGAATGAAATATGTAGATTTCTGAAAAAAAAGGAATGTTCATACCATTTATTATTATTGTTGCATGTGCGTATTTTCATTTTATCAATGTGCCTGCTGGTTCAAAAACTGTCTCTATCTGTATCTATCTCCCTATGTATTGGAGGGGCACGAAATGAAATTCTTATAATGTTCGTGGACCGCATCTACCTCTTTTTCTCTCATTTAAATATTGATGAAATATTTTGAGACTCACCTCTGTCCATGTTGTCACTGTGGTATCACCTGTGTCATTGGTATTTGGAACCCTGTCGATATTGACATTTTTTGTCTGCATATCATTAAAGGTGGTCAACCGCCCAAATTACATTTTGCCTGAAAAAAAAAATCACAATAAATAGAATTATTCCACTATAAAATCCAGTATAATGATGTACAACTAGTCCTGTCTCAGTGAAGTTGGCCCCAAATTGTACAAATGCGTTCAAACAATATTATGAATGTATTTTTCAACAAGATGGTACCGCTTGTCAAACATGTAAAAAAGTAAAAGATTGGTTGTTAGAAAACAATATTCCAGTTTTAGTATGGACGTCGAGTAGTCCAGATGAAATCTAGTGGCATATCATGAAGATACTGATTTTTTTTTATTTCTCAAATATAATCATCACTCAATTTTCAAAAGGCAAGAATTTCAGAGGCTGTGAAAACTGACGCCACGATTTCGTAAGTAGAGGCAGTCCATAGCATAGTTGCCATGAGTTGAAATACGATTGGTAACTTCAGAAATATTAGTTTTTCAATGATTCATAAATTTTCTATTGAGTTTTATTAATTCGCGACGTCGCACACCTAACGGCAGTTACTTGGGCAATTCTGAGCGGTTTTATGGTGGACACTTTTGATAACCTTGTGTAGAATCCTTCAGAGAGTTCCAATGTCGAGCACCCTGTAAACGTTGAAAACGAAATATATTCAGCGAATCGACCTCTAATTAGCTGTCCGCAGTCCATCGATATTGATATCAAGATGGTACGGCGGAAGCCTATAAACAATTCATCTGTCCTGGAACGGGTTTTTTCGCCAAGATCTCGGTGGTACCATCGGTGGTACCATCGGTGGTTCGCACGTCAATGGCGGAAACGAGCATCCGGTCAGCCCTTTTGGATCGCGAATGGGAATGGGAATGGAGGTCGGGTTGGTTTTCCCATGCAGATTTGATTACCAAAATGTTAATTAATGTACGCTGAGACGACGTTATAACGCACTGATGGTTGAAGCGTTCGAATAGTAATCACACAGATAAAAAGAATTTCTTCAAACAAATCCATGTTCTTGAAATGAAATTGCTTCATTCAATAATTTTTTATTTGATTCAGAGCTCTTGTTTCAAATCAATAGGCATGTTTATTGCTTCGTTTCTTGTAATTTCTTGATATGAAGTTGCTCAATATAAACAGTATTCTTCTTCATTCAAGGAAACCGCGACTACAAGTAGTGACATGAATTTCAATTTATGTTGGTTCAAGAAAATCTCTGCTTACTAAGAGGTCTGCAGTGACATATGCAGCGGTGGGGGACAACTGAGGTGTAGATTGAAACGGTTGGCGGTGCAAAACACCTTCGTTTCTCAATAGTGAAGTGTTTTCACTGATTTTTCTATCTGAAACTTACTGAGATCCTTGATATGAATCTCGATATGAATCGTACCTGAAACCATTCCTACACATCACTGTCAGTTATATAATCTCTGTATATATTTTACTCGGTTACTGATCAAAATGATTATACCAATAATAAAACATCTGTATATTAGTAAGAGCTCAAATAAGGGTATGTATTAATGTCTCGAAAAATAAATCCTCCTATCATCAACCAGTATTTGATGATTTTACGATTATGTATATGTTTTCATTCATATTATACATGTTTTTATGTTTGTTCTTTCATGATAGGATGACCAATTTTTGATAATGAAGTCTTGTGTTTTTAGCAAATGTAAGAGTTTATTTTATTCCATTCAATACTAGTAAGCTGTATTTCATTTTCTCCAAAATGAGAATCTTTTGGCAATAACTTGAAGATCTTCTGAAGAAATATCCAATAATTATAATGAGACATGCATTATCTATTTGTAACAACCTCGATAATTGGTGGTTCAAGATTCAGAATTCTAATCACCCTGTATCTGTTCCGATTAAATATCAGTAAAAAGTGAATCAAAAGTTGAGATAGGAACATATATGAACCAAAGAAAAAACATAAACGCAAAGTAAACTTTGTGGTCGACCGACTTTGCGTTTATGTTTTTTCTTTGAAAAAATCTGGACCACTTTGAGAAGGATGGATGGTTTCCATGACTTATATATGAACCATTTTGGCCGATAATGAATAGTTTCGACACAAACAAATCCTAGAGTTGACCAATCTCGATTTTGAACACCCTATATCTCTGTAATCATCTCCGATAGACCCTAAGTTTCATGTATTGATGAAATCAGCTCTTCAGGGAGAATCTAAAAATGCAATGAAATACAGGGTATTCTAAATACTGTCTGTAGGTTAATCGAGGAGGTGGTATATTCATTATTCCAAATTTTTTTGGGATTTTCTCTCCTCGTTTCTATAAAATAAAAATATGAATATTATTTCAATATACGTGTAGTAAGGACAAATCAGATGATTTGCCCCAAAATGTCACTGCGTTTAAAGAATTTTCCTATCAGAGAGCCTAAAAGAAAAATTCACCAGCTTGTCAGTGACAATTTGTATTGAAAAAATTTTTGGAGAAGGGAAATAAAGGTATATAGAAAAAATATCAAATTTTCACTTATCTTTGGACGTTTCGGGACCGGTTCTGCTCCCGTTTTCAACATAAGAAGAGATTATTTCAATAGCGAAGTCGTATAATGTCTTGAAGCTTTTCAGTTTTCAATGACAATTGGTGACGTTGGCAATCAAATGAGTTACAGGATGTTTTCATTAATTGATCTTGAATTTACCATTTTCATGTTCAGATTTTAGTAGTGAATACCATGTTCTGTCTATATCAACTGAACAAGAAGCAATGTTATTGTCTCCGTTCAGAAGAATGCAAGCAGATTCCTTGATTTTTCTCTTCTGGTTGTTATCTTCTTTTCCAATAATTTTAATATTATTCCACTCTGCCATATGTTGTCCGTCTTCAGTAAGGATATGTTCAGCTAGTTTCGATTTATCGATGTTTCTTTTCTTTATATTGTACTTATGTTCCATCGTCCTTACTGAAAGAGGTCTCTTGGTTTCACCTGTATAAAACTTGTGTTTGTGGAAAGTTTTATACAGGTGAAACCAAGAGACCTCTTTCAGTAAGGACGAAGGAACATAAGTACAATATAAAGAAAAGAAACATCGATAAATCGAAACTAGCTGAACATATCCTTACTGAAGACGGACAACATATGGCAGAGTGGAATAATATTAAAATTATTGGAAAAGAAGATAACAACCAGAAGAGAAAAATCAAGGAATCTGCTTGCATTCTTCTGAACGGAGACAATAACATTGCTTCTTGTTCAGTTGATATAGACAGAACATGGTATTCACTACTAAAATCTGAACATGAAAATGGTAAATTCAAGATCAATTAATGAAAACATCCTGTAACTCATTTGATTGCCAACGTCACCAATTGTCATTGAAAACTGAAAAGCTTCAAGACATTATACGACTTCGCTATTGAAATAATCTCTTCTTATGTTGAAAACGGGAGCAGAACCGGTCCCGAAACGTCCAAAGATAAGTGAAAATTTGATATTTTTTCTATATACCTTTATTTCCCTTCTCCAAAAATTTTTTCAATACAAATTGTCACTGACAAGCTGGTGAATTTTTCTTTTAGGCTCTCTGATAGGAAAATTCTTTAAACGCAGTGACATTTTGGGGCAAATCATCTGATTTGTCCTTACTACACGTATATTGAAATAATATTCATATTTTTATTTTATAGAAACGAGGAGAGAAAATCCCAAAAAAATTTGGAATAATGAACAGGGTATTCTATTTGAAATTTCAAAGTTGTTGCTACTTTTTGCGGGGATGCCAACGGATGGCATAATTCCAAAATATAGCTTTGAAAAAACTTTTAAATTATAATAAGTATAACGGACAGAGAGGCATGGAAGGAAGGACCTCCTATCAATGCGGACATTGCTGTCTATACGGACGGCTCCAAAACTGAGGAAGGATCAGGAGCTGGTATTTATGGGGCCAAGCCAAAGTCGAGAATCTCACTGAGCTTAGGCAAATACGCGACGGTGTTTCAGGCAGAAATTATTGCAATACATCATTGCATGAGAGAATTGATAAGGCAAGAGTTTAAAGGCAAAATCATTGCAATCTATTCAGATAGCCAGGCGGCAATCAAAGCAGTCAACTCTATGCAAGTTGACTCAAAACTAGTATGGGACTGCTTAAAAACCCTTAATGCACTGGGCAGTCAGAACAGATTGACTCTAGCATGGGTACCAGCACATACAGGGTACGAGGGCAATGAAGAGCCAGACTCACTTGCCCGAGCAGAAGCAAACAAAGCTCTTAATGGCCCAGAACCGTTCTGTGGTATTACGAAAGCTATACAAAAGACTAGGCTCAAATCATGGATGCAAACCAAATCCCAAGAATGGTGGAAAACTCGCCAGGAATGAGACAGGCAAAAGAGTTTATTAAAAAACCATCGCCAAAATTCACATAATATCTACTAAGCCAGAAACGAAGTTCAACTAGAATACTAGTGGGACTTCTCACAGGGCATTGTAGGCTCAACAAACACATGAGTACGATAGGTCTGACTGAAGAACTGCTGTGCAGGTTCTGTCAAGAAGAGGAAGAAACAGCAGTACACATACTTTGCCACTGTGAGGGCTTGTCAAGACTAAGGTTCCTTACGCTGGGTGAGGAAAAACCAGGAGCCCAGAAATACACAGGAGATCTGAAAGCTATTTTATGGAGCCTCATAGGGAAGGCGGGGCTAGCCGAAGAACTCTAATCGATTTTGAGGGCAGACACAATAGATCTGAAAATGTCGCAGTGTGGAGGCAGATAGCCCGAAGGCCCCATTCCAAATCTAATCTACTTTCTGCGGCAACACTGCATTGCTGAAATTATTCAAAAGAAAAGAGCGACTGCTTCTCGACATAGAGATAGTGTAAGCTCGTCGTGACCTACCCTGTATAGCACCCTGTATATATGGCTTGTCTCAAGAGTACGTCATCTGGTATAACATCCCTGTTCTAAGAACACATTTCTGACAACTATAAGCAACTCATTGCCTGGTTATCTCCTGTGAACTGAGAACATAACATTTTCCGGATTCTGTTTAATGAACGATACCAAAT